ATCAGGAAATTCAAATACAAATATAAAAATTTAATCTATGATAGTCAGTAATGTCAACTTTTGCTCATTGGACAAAATTAATAAACAACAGATCAATTGAATTTAATTATTTATTAACTCTCTCCAGAGGGTAGTCACAAATTATTATTTTTATTTATGTTTCTTCTTTCGTGGTACCGTCACTGTTAATTATCTTTTATTTCTGTATGTTCGCGTACATTATGGAGTGGTGCTTGTTGGTTGAGTTAGAGAAACTTTGAGTTAGACTTCGCCAATGAGTATATACCAGAATCTCCTGTGACTTATTTTCATTTTCAAATGTATCTTTGTATTGTTTTTTGTATCATCAATAAAGCCGATTTATTATTATTATTATTAAATTATCTGTTTTGATCTGATTTTTCACGACGGTTTTCAACGTTTTGAGATTCCAATTTTTTGACATCAATGGAAGAAAATCTATTTCAAGCTGTATATTTTTGTTGAACATCTTTACAAGTTACTTGGAGTGGTGATTTAACACAAAAGGCTTTTTCTTTAGCTTATGGTGATGTCCCACATGCTTGGGTAGAGTATTTATAATCAGTAAGTCCGGCACGGACCACATATTTGTAGTTGAGGCAACCACAACACTGTGGCCACGTTAACTGCACTTCGCAACCACATTTTCGTGGTCGACTTGCGGTCATATAAACCGCACTTGCAGTCGAGGCAACTGACATCAAAAATTGAATGCTGTGAGACCAATATGTACGCGGTTGGGTACGACTGCAAGTTTGTGGTTAGTATACGGCGGATGCCGCAATGACACCCGACGGAGATCAGCAGCCAGTTGACTGTAGAAGCTCATTTTGACTTTTGTGAACGCTCGTGTACGTGTAGTACAGTATTTCTTATGGGCGGCTTATGTTCGCTGGAACGCCACTGCAATTGTGTGGTCGATCCGACCGCAAAATGTGGCTCGTGTACGAGCGCTCTAACATTAAAATTTGTAAGAATTCTTCAGGTGTAAATCGAACCGTAATACAATTTACACTGTTTGATAAAATGGCGTAGATATTTCATGAAGGATCATAAAATCGATTAAAATAAAATGATTTGATTATTCATTGATTATTCAAAACATCTGGGACTTGAACTAAATTTTGAAAAATGAGAGTTGATCACTCTTTCAACTCCGAGTAATATTTCCGAATCCATTTTGAAATTGGCTCCTGGCACAAGAATATTGGAGAAGTCTAAATCTAGTCTTCTGGGTGCTCCTCTCTCTGAAGATTTACTTTCAGAACATCTTCGAGAAAAACGGAAATCACTCAAATTGCTGACCACCAGATTGAATGAAGTTCCAAAACACGTTACATTTTTTATTTTGAAAAATTGTTTGGCGATTCCAAAACTCATGTACGCCCTCAGATGTTCCCCCACTTTGTCAAGTCAGTTAGAGCTTGACGAATTTGATAATTTACTACGCAACACGACGGAATATGTTACAAACAATCATTTCGAAAATGATTCATGGTTCCAAGCAACGCTTCCTGTAAACCTTGGCGGACTAGGGCTACGTTCGCCTTCTTCCGAAGCTTTACCAGCTTTTCTGTCATCAGTCAATAGTGTTTCTGATATTATCGATTCCATCCTTCCTTCCATATTCATCAATATCAAAGACGTTTTTATGCTGAAGGTGAATCACTTTGGCATGCCGCAACTAATATTGCTCCTCCTACAGATAAAAAGAAAATACAAAGTGCATGGGACCGATCTCTTCTGAACATTATAACTGATAAACTTCTGAAATATACAAGTGTATACAATAAGGCTCGCCTGAAAGAAGCAATGATCATAGAATCGGGTGCTTGGCTGAATGCTTTACCTGTTGCATCTCTTGGAACACTATTAGACGATGAATCTTTCAGAATAGCAGTAGAGCTTAGGATGGGTTCATCTATTTGTGTGCCCTATACTTGTGTTTGCGGTAGTATAGTTGATGAGGCATACATCTCGACATCACCAAGTGAACGACATATTGAAACGAGCTTTGTTGTCAGCGGATGTTCCTGCAATTCTGGAACCCTTAGGTACCAGTCGAGATGATGGTAAACGACCAGATGGTATGTCTCTCATACCATGGAAATACGGTAAACCTGTGGTATGTGCCTCACTTGTGTTGACACGGTAGCGGCTTCCCATCTATCCGGAAGTTCGAAGTCTGCTGGAACTGCAACATTGTCTGGCGAGAAATTGAAAAGAAAAATATACCAAAATCTTGGTAACAACTATCTGTTCCATTCAGTAGCGGTTGAAACTTTTGGTGTTTATGGCCCGGAGTCTCTGTTATTCGTTCATGAACTCGGAAAGAGAATAGGCCAAGCAACGAAAGATCACCGTTCTACCTCTTTTTTGAGAGAAAAAATTAGTATTGCTATTCAACGTGGCAATGCTGCTTCGGTCCTTGGAACAATTTCTCCTTCACATAATTTTGATGGGATTATGCATTGCCCTAATTTCAGTACGAAACTGAAATCTCTTCGAAACAAGCCGAAATATGTGGATATTCATCAGTCTCCTATCAAGGTTGATTCACAAGTGATTGATCCACCTTCTTCTTTTTCAGTGCGGTCAATGGACTTAGGTCATTCTTGCCAAATATGAGTTGCAATCCTCGTAGTTCTGGTTCCTTTTCAGTGGAAGAGCTTTATGAAGTAAGAGCCGAATCGATCCCTCTACGAAACCCTTCTTCACTAGGAAGGATCGATCGCAGCTTGAGAAATGGTTCTTATGAAGATTCTGTGAAACATGTTCTTTCTTATGAATCAGTAGAGAGTTGTCCTGAAAATCTAGAGAAGGAAATTGGATTGGATAATTCAGGAAACACTTGCTACATGAATAGCGTTTTACAAGTGTTGTTCATGACAAAGAATTTCAAGAACGAGGTTTTATTGATGAACGAGAATGGGAATGTTTCCTTTATATTCATCAAACTCAAACACCTGTTCATGCAGCTGCAGTTTCGTAAGAATGTATCATCTTTCTCTCCAACCGATTTCCTGGAGTCTTTGAAGTCCACTAGATACTCGTTAGGACAACAAGAGGATTGTTCCGAATTCTTGGGGTTCTTGTTGAATACTCTTCGTGAGCAAAACAATAGCAAAATCAATACTCCTGACCGCTCTGGATTGAATGATTCCGTACTGCCCATCTCGTCTTGTGTTTGTAAATCTTTTGCTGGAAAAATCCTCACTTGTTTACTTTGTAGTGAATGTTCAAGAGGTAGCGAAAACTTATGTGAATTTCTGGAACTTCATCTAGCTTTTCTTAATATGACTTATAACCAGTACGTGCAAAGCTTATTGTTAAATCATCTGAAAATGGAATTTTTAATAGGTGATGATCGACTGTATCGCCAAACATGCGCCAAACTAACTGACTGTTATAAGGAAATAAGTATATCTGAGGCCCCAGTGAATCTAATAATAACACTGATGATCTTCAAACAAGACTCAACCTCTGACGGAAGCAAGAAACTCTTTGGAAGGTTCGAAATAGATGAACATTTCAATCTAGCAGACCACTATTATAATAGTCATGCAGTCATTATTCACTGTGGTTCTGGCGTTGAATTTGGTCATTATTACGCCTTGGTCAAAGACGAAACGGACTGGTTTAAGTTTGACGATAGTCGTATCAAGAAGTGTTCTGGCGATGTATTGAAGCTAATGGAGCCTCTGGAGACACCCTACATTTTGTTTTATGAGAGAGAGGACATTGGCAGATCAAGATCTTCAGATGATGTGGTGCTGCAGGTTTTTCCGGGTTTTCCTGCAGCTGAAAAAGCAAATGCGCTACTGGAATCAATGAAGTCGCCCCGAAGCGCCAATTTATTTTTATTGTTGTTTTTATTTTTATCTTTGTTGTACAATAAATATGCTCATTTTCTCTTGTGAAAAAAATTATAACGACCTCTTCTAAGTAAATTTGAAATCTTGAAGAGAAGAAGGGAGAGACAAATGCGGTGAGGAATTAAAGTTGGGTTATAAAGGTTATTTCTACCTAGATGGGGGGAGTTGGAAAACCTCACTAATGTTCAAGGTCCTCCCTTTATCACAGATGCGCATAAATTGTATATCTGTATCTGGATTGAGAAGGTGGTTTTGGTTGATAATATAGTTGGCGAAGGAGCTGTTTGTATTGATTTCCTAAGGATGATCATGATGTCTATATTTCTGAATGATGTTGTAATGTTCTTGAACCCTGGTTTTAAAGGAGCGGCCGGTTTGGCCCACATACGCTGCAGAACAATTATATGTTGAACAAGAAAGTTGATAAACTCCTGATTTTTCTAAAATAGGGACTTTATCTTCACTATTGATAAGGTATTTGCCTAATATATTATTGCAGTAAAAGGAAATACCAAGATTTTTGTCGAATTTTTGGAAACTATTTTTAATATTATCAAAAACTTTGCCTAGTAAACGAATATATACTAACTGTGTAACATTCATTTCTGACTCACAAATATATATATATGTATAAATTTCGTGGAGACGACATTGTTTTGATTCTGATCAGTTATCTCCACTTTGAGCTATGGACTATTTTTTGAATATCCAAGAATATATTTTCAATTTGAGGATATTTTCATGCTTGATTACATAAATGGTTTGGTGAGATTCAACTCAATTTTGAATATTTTTCAAATATTTAACACAGAAAAAGTCAGAAAATCTCTTAAAAACTGCAAGTCTATGTGAATCCGTCTAGGAAAAGAATTTTCATTCATGGTCGTTTTTGTGTCAATGATTTTCCATTCTGCCAATTTTAATGAAGGAATTGAAGAGGATTTTACTCGCTTGACCACCGCGCATGAAAAATTAGTATTCAAAATTGTTCAACAATACCTGTATATCGGTTTGACTCGATCTGACCAAGGCCAAATGTTGTTCCAATGGTTAACCTGAAAAAACAAACGGGTTAGGTAGCTAAATATTTAAAAATATGCCTACCCTTTTCTTTTTCCCACTATAGGTTCTAGATTACTCTCAATGGTTTCAATTATTTTCTCTTCCGACATTTTCGGCTTCCTGAAGCTAGGTATGGCATCTTCTGGGTTAGACCATTTTCTTCCACCCGGCAGAATGATGGGTCTCTGGATGGTTTTTGGGCGGGCCTGAAAATCCTCCATGTCCTGAAGAGTCGGTTCAGAAAAACGAAATTGAAGCGGTGGTGCAGAAACAATTCAGAAACGCGGTTTTGTTCAGATCAATAATGAAACTGAGCTATTTGTTTGGCAACCGAAAGTGAATGTTTTTGTTTTTGGCAGGAGAACAAATATTTTTGGTTTGCTTTCTAGAATTTTCAATGTCATGACTGAGTGACGGTACAAGACAAGCCATTTGGTTTGGATAAAAAACATGAGAAACATTTCTATGTGACTTCATAAATGAAAAGATATCATGGAGCATGAGGATGTGGTAAAGTAGTTTATGAAACAATTTGAAACCGCAAAAGGAAGAATCAAATGAAAAAAAATTAGTGAATCTTATGTTTTCATTTCACAAACTTTCACAAAACTCATACGAAGTATAAATTTCAAAAGTGAGTATTTGAGTACACTAACCTTTTCCTTTTTAGCTTCAAGCTGCTCCTCCTTCATAATAGCTTCCTTTTCTTCTTCTGTCAAATCATCACCCACGACCTCTTCCTCCTCCTCCTCCACACCTTCTTCAATTCGAGCTCTATCTAGTATCGCTTTGATTTCTTCTTCCGCTATATAATCGTCTTCAAACTCTTCATCCACAGTGGAGTTGGTATCTTCATCTTCAGGTCGAGTCACTTCAGCTTCTGCCTCGTCATCCATTGAAATTGATTCTAGTTGTAAAACAAAACTATTGAAACTGATGTACCTATGATAGTATATGATATAGTATATGATATAGTATATATATATATATATATAAACAGAAATTAATATCGGACATAGCACTCAAGAAAGTGGCAAACCATAGACACGTGTTTCGGGCTTTTGGCCCATCATCAGTATGGTACAGCGAAGTGTAAGGATGGGCAACACTTGGTTACCAAAAGATAGAAATACAAATGCACGGAGCCACCAGCAGAAGCCAACCGCACATTTGTGGTTTCAGTTGATAGATCTTGTGTTCCCAGAAAGAAGTACAGCTAGATCACCCTGTACATGTCTAGAAGCTCACATACTTTACATAAAACAAAAATGAAACAGCGGAAAATTCAAAATTTGTGTATGATTTTCACAAAATAGACAACCGGCAGAGGATGTAAATTAATGTCAAATGGAAACAACATGATATATGTTAAATAAAATTGAAAGACTCATCATTAAATTGTAAATATTTAGAAATAATGAAAAGTTTGAAAATTATTGTTGTAAACCGTTTCCCTAGTTACGGGTATGAAATGATGCTAACGAAAAATTTAATGTTTAGACATAAGTGAGGTTAAATATGTACTTACACAAATATTAAGGAAAGATGTATCTGAATTTAGAAATAAGTAGCAAACTTGTAGAGGAAATAGTTTTTAAGATATCAAAGTTAGAAATTTGGAGTTACAGAAATTGATAGTTAGTAACTAAGGAAAGTAGATGATTTTCAACTTTTTTATCAACAAAGGCGACGAAAAGAGACGCCACGCCAAATCATTTACTCCCAAAATTTAATTAAAATTAATAGAAAAGTCAGTAGATATTGAATAATTATATTGAAAAATAGTACTTTGAAGAAGTTATGAATGATACCAACCTGTATAAGCCAATACCAACCAAGAAACTTATCAAGAAATATATTACTTGGAGAATTTCCAGCAGACGAGAGGAGAATCCAGTGGAGACGAGATTTTTACTGCACAAAACACACAGAAGGAAAAACAAGTACTTTAGTATTTCCAATACCAATTGGAACAGCATAGATAAGGAATTCCCGCCTCGACAAAGGCATCAGCATATTATTTTTCAGTGGTAGTTTTTCAGTTAGTTATTCTAACAATCATAGCAATTGGTCGGTCGGTAGCCAAGCGGTTCGGTGTGGGTGCTTTGTTCACTCACTCGAATTGACTGCCGTGTTGGTCGGTGGTTCAAGCCCTAGTCTGAACGATCGATCTTCACTTGCTATCGTCCAACCCGTGTTAGGAATCACACGTTAAAAGGTAAGACCTCGTTAATCCTTGGCTCGCACGACTTCTGAGGGTTGTCGTTCGTAGGGATGCGACAGCTGGTTAACGGAAAAACAGATTTTAAACAGATTTTTGAACAGATCACCCCATGAAAAAGTTATCTCAACTGAATTTTTCCACCGCTATATTCGGATGAGGTGGAATCATTATCGGGTTGAATAACGATCGGATTTATGGAACTTTGCACATAATATTTGTTCTCTTCTTTTATAACGTGGGCCACACAGTTCTTCCACACATCACTATTACCTACTTCATTCACCACTCTCCTTATATTGTCAAGCACTAATTACATCATTCAAAGTCGGTGACTGATTACATTTCCGCAAGCTTTCTTTTATTGTGGCTCAAACCATTTCAATTGGATTGAACACACAATAGTATGGAGGCAAGCGTAAGAGAATATGATACGTGTTTCACACATCGAATCAATAATATACTCTTTTTTGAAATAACGTTGTTTTATGGTTGCCAGTAATGCCTTTTTCGTTGGAATCTTTTCGGGTATTTCCATGTCATGATTTCGCATGAAATCAACAATATCTGCTTTTTTTGTGTTATTGTTTGGTATTGTAGTCAATAATCGAGAATGATACGAAGCGTTATCCATAACAATAACTGAGTTTGGAGGAATATTTGGGAGAAGCTGCTCACTGAACCAGGTTTCGAATAAAGCCGCAGTCATATCTTTGTGGTAATCAGTAGACGAATCTTTTATATTTTTGGCCGACAGAAGCAAAGGTACGAAACCACTTTCATTCCCGGCATGCAAAATTATAACACGTTTCGTCGAGGTAGATTATATGTCTGCTGGATTCTCGGTAGCTTTTCATTCGTCGCAAAAATTCTTGTCGGAATTGAACAATGCGTGTCGATTCCATTATGACGATCCGATTGTTCAATTTTTTATATTTGAAACCACAAGACAATAAGACACCTCGTAGAGTTTCTGAAGATTTGTAATTGTAATCGGGATAGTCAAGCACTTTATACCAAATCATTCTCAAGGTTGGTAGTTCATTTTTTTGGTATATACCATAAATTGTTCGTCGAATCATATTTTTTGTAGCACCATCAACGTTTGCGAATTTTTTATTCCTTTGTTTTCGTTTCATTTCCTGGTCAATGACATCCTCTATTTTAATGACTCGAAGAACTGTCGAACTGTCGAACGTTAACTCGCATATTCTATTCACAATAGCATTCTGTGAAGTGTGACAGTTTTCCTTCTTCAAGCATTCATGAATATTTAAAATTACTCGCTGAACTTGAACATGTAAGTCCTTATTCCTTATCCCTGTCGATTGACACAGATTCATCACACTTAATTTTATCATTTGTTTCAAAAGGTCTCCAGAAAGCCATATCGATGAAAATACTCAAAAACACTAAAATTTTCACAAAAATCGGTTGAAACGATGAGATTGGAACCTTTGGTGTGAACGTTGAAAACTTTTTCTAGAGATCAATTACCCTAACACCAAACTGATATTTTGGCATTCGACGCGCGTTTCGCTAACAAGGTTAGCATCTTCAGGAGAAGCAAATTGATACTGAATCTGAAGACAAGGGTTAGCTGTTTATATATTATATTAATTTGCAGATAGTGGTTCCACTACTTAATTACTGAAAAATCAATTAGGATAATCATCATTTAACAAACAAAGTCCACATCGGATCAAAAAAATTTAGGTATATTAACAGCTGACCCTTGTCTTTAGATTCAGTATCACTTTGTTTCTCCTGAAGATGCTAACCTTGTTAGCGAAACGCGCGTCGAGTGCAAAAATATCAGTTTGGTGTTAGGATAATTGATCTCTAGAAAAAGTTTTCAAAAATCGGTGTGCAAAACCACTCACTACCTCACCTAGAACACACGGCACTGATAAAGAAATATTGTGAAACGGAAAAAATTATTATTCAGCCAGTCCAGCTAGCCGAGCCTTTATTCCTCAACTACATTTGATAGTACGTTTACTGGCTATCTGGGCGACTAGGGGCCACAGGCAAAAAATGTTTATGACTGTACTCTCATTTTTATTGCCGTTCCAATTGGGAATGGATAGACTATACCCCTTTCTATATCGAATATAAAAAAATATATGCATATATAATTTGTCCAAGAGAAAACACTGGACAACTGAACAAAAATTGAATTCATGAATTTTCATCGAACATAAAACCACAAAGTGTCCAGGATAGACTAACTGAGATTTCATAAACTGATAGTGCGTTCCAAAATTCACATTACTTAGTAAGGTTTAGCATAGAACATTATCTAGCGTAGTTTGCTGTTCACACTAGTTAATTTATAGTTTCAGATTTCTATTGTCAGTTGTGCCTTTCTAAAATTTATTCACAGGTACACCTGCTATTTGTGTTTGAGCTTGAATCCACCTGAGGTGAGAAATATCTCTATACATTGAGTTATAGGGATTTCTATAGACCTAGACCTACCTTCTCTTCACAACTTACCTGAGATGAAGTCTGGATCATCATATAGTATTGTCAATAGTATTGTCAATTGGACCTAATGCCTCCAACTTCATATTAGTTACTTGTGTAATGTGCTTAGTTGTGTCATATGGTGTTTACTCACTATTTTTCGCATGTAACATGAGTATAATTTTTGAGTTGATTCTGTTTGTATCCCAAGTTTTTTAATGAATTGATAAAAAATAAATGAAAGTCGGATGTTTCTTACCATCGTTTCCCTCCTCACATTCTGATTTTTCCTTGGCTTCTTTTTCTTGAGAGCTCTCTTTGGCACTCACAATGCTCGCAAGCTGTCTGGATACGGCATCCAGAGTCAACTGAATGGCCGAAGGTAGTTGTGAAAGGGCCTGCAGTTGTTTCTGGACAGCCAATAACTGCTCTTCCAGAGTCATAGACGATTCTGAGTCATCCACTTTGATTTCGGATAAAGGTTTGTAGGCGATTTCTACAGGATCCTCTTCTGAAATGGAAAATTCATTTGGAGATACCTTACAAATGTTTGAGGAAACTCACGTTGGTATTCATAATTGGTGTAATCTTCGTTTTCAGCTACATTTTGATTTTCGTCCCGGCCAATTAACTCTTCATTGTCGTCTTCTCCATCCTCTGTAAAATTTGCATCAGTATTGCCGTTTTCAGGGAATTCTTCGTGATCATCAGAAATATAATTGGACTTTTCCACTTCCACAGGTTGTGAAATTGGTTCTAGGCCTGCCTAAAATTCGAGAGAGTTTTGTAACGGATCAGGAAGGTTAAAAGTACTTACAATTGTCTCGTCAAATTGGACTCTCTTCTCCTTGGAGAAAAGTTTTCTTCTGGAGCCTTGCTTCTTGATAACCACTTTATACGGGTCGCTCTGAAAAGTTGTATTTATATTAAAAACCAGCTGACTCGGCAAATGTTGTTTTGCCACATAAATTATTTCCATGAGAATAATAATCCTTACAAATAATATCAATCCCTCAATGCTATAGTGTGTACAATATTTTTTGTTAGTCCATGTTTAGCTAACACGAATAAACTGAATGCTTTGCCCACTAGAAAGCATGCCACGTATAATTGTACGTGTGAAAAATATGGTCTGCTCGAATCCGAGCCACAAACGGACATTGTTTGGCCTTGGGACTTATTAATAGTCATTGCAAATGCCAATCTAATTGGAAATTGCACGCGATTAAAATGAATTGGCACATCTTTAGGTATAATAGGATTTGTGGTGATATTATATTTCCACCTCGAAACTCGCCATTTAAAATGACGACCTCGACAACGTTTTTCAACGTTTTTAATCACGTACTCTTAAACAACCTTGGTGGATTCAAATTACGGAGCCATTCAACTTTCAGTTGTATAGTCGAAGTAAACGATATTGTGCACTCTTAAAGTTGGCGGCACTCTGAAAGGCCAAAAAAAACCAATACATAGAAATGAACTGGCAGCGAACTAGTCCACGTTGACTGTAGACTCGCCGGTTCGTATTGGATAATTTTTACTAACCGAGTTTTATGATTGGCTGAAGAGTCATAAAATTGAATTTGAAGTCATGTTACGGTAAAGAATAAAAATCGAGGAATGCGGGGATGGTTATTGCCGTCGCGTTCAGTTCAGAAAATGATCGCGGTTTGAGTGTCGAAATTCGATATTCGTGCAGTTATAGTTACTTAAAATTTTCGTTATCCTTATCACACTCGTTATTACTAATAGTAATAACGAGTGTGATAAGAACGCAGACTTATTCCAGTGTAGTGATTGCAATAGCGATGGTGAACAATGCGAAAAAGAGATACCAGTGAATAAGATTTGGATGCATTTGAATATTGAAACACAGAGAGTATATTTCAATGTATATACTAATCAAGAATCAAGTTTGGTTTCGAAGAAACCAAACTATCACAAGCAACATCAGATTTGACCGAAATTCCTTTCTCAACTGTACGTGTTGAGTCTGTAGTCTATGTATATATCTGTAGTCTATGAATATAAAGAAGAAAGGCTTTTCGGTGGTTCATCTGTTCATCTAGCTGTTTGGGATGTGGGGTACGGGTTTTCTGAAACTGGATGGGTGTTTGTAAAATTAGCCAGTAAAAGGCGCCCTCATGGGTTCACCACTCTATCCAGTCCTTGCAAACTTTAAGAGGAAGACTTTAAAATCAGAGCAATTGACATGTCTGACCTCAAACTCATTTGTTGGCTTCGATACGTCGAAAAGTCGAAAATAACCACTCACTTCCATTCCTGGATGTTCTTGTCACAAAATCCAACGATTCCTTCTCACACACTTTTTACCAAAAACCAACCCATACTAACCGCTACGTCCCATCATCATCCTGCCCAATTGAATTTCATTCTTAATTCCCTCAAACACAGGTCTATCAGGCTCACTGACAGTCACAATAAATCCAAGGAACTAGACTAACCCAAATCTGCCTTTCACCAAAACGAATATCCCGAAGCCCAAATCCAAGGATCCAACCAACTTCAGGAAACCCATACCACACACGTCAAACAGCTAGGTATTTTCAAAATCAACTAACCTCATTAACAAAATGAATATTTAGAATTCATTCAGATGATGACTGTAAACGAGATAATAAAATCGAAATCTACTTACCTTCACTGGAATATTTTCGAGTGTTTTTTTGGGTTGCGGAATTGGTTTGTTGGGCTTCATCAGGAAGGTAGACCATTTCTTATCTTCAGATGTTTCTTCTACCATGAAGTCGGTTTGGGCTGTGTTTGAAAATACCATTTTTTCTTTCCTACAAGAAAGCTGTAAAGTAACCGTATTTTGTGATAAATTTGACGTAGGTACCTGTTTTTGTTTTTACTGGTTGTAATTGTTTGTTGATTTCTTCTTGAATCTGAAAAATGAAGTATGCTTTTGATTTCCAATTACCTATTCCAAATATATTTTACTAAATGTCACACATGAAGTGCGCGTACATGAAAGTTTATGTCATTAATAGATGTATTTGAAATTTGATTCCGCACTAAATATGTACTCGAAAACTCTCAATAATTTAGGTCTTTTGTGAATTTCGAAAAATGGCAAATAAAAGATTGCACAATTTCCAATTTAACACCTTTTCTTCATCACTTTGATTTTTTTCAAATTTTTTGACAGTTCCGATTCGAACAAAAAATGATTCAAATTTCATTTGAGGATTTTTCTCACGGCTTCTCTGCCAACCCCCGTTTTTTCACTAAAACTCCCATTATTGGTTTTCCGTTTTTAACAAAGCTCAAACAAACATTGAGTTGTTCTTCTTCGTTACACCTCATTGGATTACGTGGTTTCTTGATTACGTGGTTTCTTGACTGTCCAGAAAGCCAGTTTCTTTGAATGTTTTCAATGTCCTTCCCACCACATATAATAAGGATTTCCACTTTGTGTTGTGTGGATAACACTGTACATAAAACTTATTTATGAATCATAAATGTACGAAAAGCTGTTCACAAAACAACTCGTTATTGAACAGAATGATTTAACTTCGAACAAAACTGAAAATTTGTTTCAAAAGTAAAAGTCTTCTGAAAAAAAATCGATATAAAAAAAATCGAGCAATTATACTATTGTCTTCTCGAGATACTCCATCAGTCTTGTATTGTTTAAAATCACGAAATTTTATATAATGTTTTTGACCAAATCGCTAAAATGAAAGTCTTTATTTATGGTTTTTTTTGGGCGAGATATGACATCGGAGTCTCATATTCATCGAAATTATGAAATTTGAATCACGCTTCGTTCGAACCGGTTGAGCGAAATATTTAAAAACATGAAAGAAATTGGAAAAAAGTCCGAGTGGAGAAAAGAAAACTGTGCTTTTATGATATGTCCGTACCAGCTCATGAAAAAAGAAAAGATGCTGTTTTTATTCATTTCTCAAGCATAAATCTACTATGGAATCAAATTTTGAATAAATCTATCGATAAACCTATTTTTAGCTCCATCTATTCAATAAAGTGTTAACAAAGTTTGCTGGCAGATGAATCCTCATCAAATTTTTCAAGCACTGTACAATAATGATCATACAGTTTTACATTACCATGTAATAACTTACTTTCTCTATTGAGTCTCTCCACTATATCAGATGCTTGATCAATTATGTCTTCATCCACTGATATTTGAACCCCCTTCAATATTTCTTTGAACCCAAAATTATAGTCTTCGTCCTACAAAATATAACTACTTCACGTCATTTATAATATGTGCAATAACTTTGTGAAAAGTATCAACATTCACGAAAAATAAAACCGATAACACATTCGTCAACCACATAAAAAATCACAAATTTATTCTGGAAAAGTTGAACTCACATGTATGATATTGATTGGAGAATCTCCCCTACAAATCATTAGAACAGTTTCATGATTCAATATCAGTACCCGAAACTTCAAGGAACTTTATTTTTATTTTGAGATCTCTCACCTGAGAACACCCAGTGTGAACTGTAGTCCTGAAGATGTGATTAGTTCATGGACTTCTGTGTGGGTCAATCCTGCTGTGGGAGTATTGTTTACTCTTACTATAACATCTCCTACTTGAAGGCCCGAGTCTTCTGCCAAGCTGTTTCCGTTCACCTAAAATAAATGTTCACAGTGAAGTCTTAAGCTTGTCGCCCACTTGAAACATTGAAACAATGAAAATGAATGGACAACCGCCCACTAGCCCGGCACGACACAGCCAAGAGCGTCCGCCGCTGGAAAGGATTCCAGCTCTTCGATTCTGTCCGGAAAATAACGGTACGTGCTGTGACGGACTGGCCAAGTGAGCGTGTCGCCGGCCAGCGCTTGCCAGCATCAACTTGTCCAAACGTGCCTGGGAAATTTATGTCTCTCTGTTTTGCTTTTCCATCAGTTGACAGCACAGTGTCAGACGGTACCTATGAAATTGGACGAGGAAAAATTGAGTTGCTTGTTAAGGAAAAGTTTCTCCTCGTCTTCTTTCAGGTCGTTGAAAAGATGATGAAATTCTCCCATATTTGCCCTCTTTTGATTAATGGAATGGACCCACAACATTCTTTTTTGTGACTATTTTCTTCTACATTCAATAATGCGGCCGCTATAATGACGACTTCTTTGTTAGAACTGTTAATGATAAACATGTTTCTGTCACCGCTCGATGTCAACTTAAATTCTCTTGAAATCGAACAAACAGCACCTTCAGTATGCTGTTTGTAGCTGGAGAAGTGGGCGATGCTACTACCTGTCGCCATCAGACGACGGACAGCGCCGTGCTGTGTTGTGCCGGACAAGTAGACGACAAGCTTAAGATTGGCCCATCATAATAAGTAGTTGTATTTTCGAAACATTTTAATCAGTGTCACTATTTTCCGGGTTTGAAGCCGTGGATTTTTGGAATTTCCTCCTGACGTTTCGGTGGCGCGAGTGGCTAGCTTCCTCAGAGTCTCACACATCTTCATCTCAAACCGTTATCTCAACACCTCGACACGATCACCAAGTGATCATCTTCAAGTTCTGTTTAATCTTCCTCTTGAAGATGATCACTTGGTGATTTAAACACGTGTCGAGGTGGTAAAATAACGGTTTGGTGTTGGTATAAAACTGCAGTAATATTTCTTACTACATCAAAGGTTCCTAACAGTGCATCACAAGTATTGATTTTAATGGTTATAAAATAAAACTGGTAATGAATAATATGTATGTAGCAGAATATTTTTCAGAGTGCATTCAGTTCTCGGAAAAATACTGTGTTATTTTATTTGTTGAGAAGATTTAGTCCTCGTTTACCCTATGTATTAGTTAGAGGATCAGCTCGTAAATTATCTAGGAATGGAAAATCCACTGCAACCGAATGAAAATTTCAAATAAACATTGAAATAAATCATTTCCATTCTCAAGTTACAGGAAAGCCTCATCACAAATGATTGATAACTCTGTTTGATATCCCGGAATAGGATAAGTGTTCACAGGATACGATTTTTGTTCTTATTAGTCAGTGGGCTATGCTTGAAGACTGGCAGTAAACAAATCTAAAGAAATGAACTTCAAACGTTCAAGTCCGTCTCGAATATACCTACACATTCGAGACTGGCTTGGACGTTTAAAGTTAATTTCTTTGAATTAACAGGAGAAGGCGGAAGCATTCGCGGACAACTTCAAAAGGCAGTGCAGAGAGAACGACGTCCCGTTTACGGATGAGGTAGACGAAATAGAGAGACAGGTGGAAAGAACGGTATTGAAGCTTGAGACAACGAACAAACAACGCGCAACCCCTGGCCCCGACATCTCCCGAGGAAGTGAAAGACATACTTAGACGTCTATCCACTCGGAAAGCTCCAGGCCCGGACAACATAACAAACCGGGCACTGAAAATACTACCGCGCAAGGGTATAGCAGCCATAGCCAACATTATAAACGCTATACTCGGATTGCAGCACTTCCCGTACCAGTTCAAAGAGGCAACGGTTATCCACATCCCGAAGCCCAAGAAGAACCACCTGTTCCCAGACAATCACAGGCTAATAAGCTTACTACCTTCCATAAGCCAAGTGGCGGAACGTGTCATCTTGAAGAGACTCAAAGATCAAACTAGAGACTAGGAATCCTCCCGGATGAACAATTCGGTTTCAGATCAGAACACTCGACAGAGCTACAAGTCCTGAGGGTAGTAGACTTTGCTAACGAGGGCTTTAACCTCGGCAAAGGATACAACACCGGTGCAATCTTCTTAGACGTCTCCAAGGCGTTTGACAGAGTTTGGCATCAAGGACTACTGGCCAAAATGAATGATTTCGGATAGTCAAAACCAATGGTGAGATTAATTCAGTCTTTTCTATCTGACAGGCGATACCGATGCAGAGTAGGAGACGAACTATCAACAATTCGACTACTGGAAGCAGGGGTCCACGAGCCAAGTGCATGTTACAACATACTTGCAGCAACAGGCAGACAGATTAGAGGAGTGGGCCAACCTGTGGAAGATCAGTATAAACCCTGACAAGAATCAGGCGATACTGTTCACCCGCAGGTTTGTACAACCGGAAGGCAACGTCACCTTCAACGGACAAGAGATTCCGTGGACCAGCAAAGCGACATACTTGGGGGTCATCTTAGACAGGAGATTAACATTTCAGTCTCATGTACGGCAGAGAATTGGAATGGCTAGACACGCCAGACAACGACTGGCACCCATCATAGGACGCAGAAACCACATGGGGTTGAAAGTGAAGTTGCTATCGATCAAAACTGTCCTCATGCCCATAATTCTGTATGCCTGCACTGCCTGGGGCCAGTGCGCACAGACATACAGGAAGCAGATACAGTCGTTTATGAACGCGAGCGTAAGGGCCGCCGTAAACGCGCCGTACTATATCCCAAATAGATACATATACAAAGACTTAGACCTGGACACGCAATATGTGGACGTGTATTTGAGAGAATACGCAGAAAGCGTTTTCGATAGAATCAGATCGCACAACAATCCAGCGCTACGCGATCTAAACGATGCGTTGAACATGGATGACCCCAGGTTCCGAGAAAGGGACAAACATCCAAGACCGACTAAGAAGAACCAACGACCGCCCCCACGAGTCGCCGTCAGGCGACTCCGGTAAGCATACTAATCAGATTTTCTTTCAGCAAGTTCACCGTAGAACAATTCGTCCGCGATCCAACTATCCTTAGATTCACTGAGGAACGCCCGACGTTAATAGCAATAGCCGCCGGTTAGTTTTTGGGGGCCTCCATGCAAAAATTCAGTTAGGAATAGTCAGACAAAACACTTTACCGATCGCGAAAGAATAACACCTAAAGGCTGACTTTCGACCAAAAGAGGTCAGATGTCAATCTTGCTGAAGTGCCTATCAGTAAGTTGAGGACCGCTCGGAGAGCGGGGGGTGAATGGAGTGGGGTAGTAGGTTCTCCTCGTTAAATAGCTGGGGGGGGGGGAAGCTTCTACTTCAGGGCACTCAACCTGGAAGGGGGTATGGGGGGGATTTTCAATTATGGAATATCATTGACTTTAGGTCTGCAAGTGTGCCCTTTCCAAAATTGAGGGTGGACTTTTTCAGTTGCATTGCCAATTGCATATGCAGGACATTTTCTGTGAAGATTACTGCACTGACGCCTGTCGGATATAATCCAACGCCCTTCGTGGTATTTGCCAGGGGAGTAGTTGTTTTCTGTGTAGGTATATTCGAGACTGGCTTGAACGTTTGAAGTTCATTTCTTTAGATTAGGATACGATTTGTTGAATGATACTATCTTTTTAGATCAAAAACATAATTAAGGACGACTCAAAGATTGCCATCATTTCTATGTTAATATGGATACATATGAAATAATTCTGATATGATCGTCTAGTTCAGAAGTTGAAAATGGTGAAAAATAGACATAATATATAATGGTCGGGAAAATACGTGCGAAGGCTCATTCGATGGCAAATTAAGTTGTAAAAAAAGCCATTTAGGTTTTTGCAAATATTTTTCAAACTACAAAGAATCGAGAAACTAAAAGAAAGACCCTTACAGAGAGGTCTATGCCCAAAAAAGTCCCACTTCCGAAAGTCTATCTCTGTTATTTAAAATTTTAATTCAATGCCTAAAAAAGACATCTGCGGGTGAATTTGGGGATGCGGACGCAGTATCTGAAGCGAGTACGTAACAAAAAAGTATTATTTTCAACCATGAAATATTAATTTGGAAATTTAAAAAACTAGGGTGTATTCTGAATACCATAAAAAATTATTCTCGTTGAAAAGAAACATCTTAAAGTGAATCATTGAAAAAGCTAGGTAATTATTACCCTTCATTAAAGACACTAGTCAAGTAGTATTAGCCAGGGAAGTAGTTGTTTTTTGGTAGGTGTACTCTGAAGGAATTTGATTTTCAATTATCGGAAATCATCGACTTTATGTTGATGATAGACACTACCTTGCACTGACGAGTGGCCAAACAGCAGGAAACCGGTCTGCAAGTGTGTTCCAATAATTGAAAATTTATTGCGTCAGTTATATCGCCAACAGCATATCCAGGAATAACTTCAGTGAAGAATCTTGCACTGACACCTGTCGGATTTAATCCAACGCCGTTCGTGGTATTAGCCAGGGGAGTAGTTGTTTTCTAATAGCTATCAGTCCATTGCCCTACAGTGTAGGGAGGTGAGACTGGCCTGAACGAATTGTTCCTTTAGATGATTTCATTAATAGCTAGTCCTCAAGTATGCCCACTGACTATATGTGAAACACTAAAAATTAATAATTTTCTAAAAAAAAAATAGTTTCGCCGATTTTTTATTGTCAATGTACACTTGATAGATCACGTTATGAAAGTTTAAAAAAATTTAATATTGAATAAAATACAATGAACAATGAAAACAATGAACAATTGCATCGATTGCAGATTGAATCAAAAAACGACATTTCCTTGAAGGTATATTATCATATTCGTGTTATTTATCAAGCTAGAAGTGAAAAATAGCGAAAATGTAAATAATGTCTGTTATTTTTATAAACAAATGCAAATAATAACTGAATAATAATAGTTACAAATTTGTAGAAAAGCTCATTTGAAAGTTCTATCAATTCTCTATGGAAATAAATGTTTATTTTCATATCTTCA